GTGCATGCTGTAACAATCACAATCTACAGCCATGGTTACAGCATACACGCAAAGATCGATTTTAAGGTTGATTCTATTATTAATGGCATATCAAAAATCCACTCTAGAACAAAAAATCATTTAAACTATTAACAACTTCTATATTCTTGATCTTCAGATGTAGTATGGTCGTAGATATGGCAGACTTATTTGTATCTTGTCTAAAATGATGATTCGAATAAAACAAATTTACCGTATATTTGGCCAATTAGCACACTCACCGCCACGAAAAATGGAAATTTCATAAGAAAAAAATGTTGCTTTATTTTTATTTTTTGGGCCTACCATGTTGTTTAATACAAATAATAAATTTAAAGTGTCAAAAATGTTGTATATCGCAGGGAAATATGCAAAGGAGCGGAAATCAAGCTTTAATTAGCAAAAATCTAATGATGGTCACCGAATGGGTATTTTATAAACCGAGAGAAAAAATGGAAAACAGATAGGAAAATTCATAACTGTGAGTGAGGGGACACAATCTTATAAATATTTGCACTATATTTGGGGTTTTACATTTCTTCTAATAAAAAGACCACCGAGCTTGCGCTTGGTGACGAGTGATGAATCCGATCCCCTAGTAGCAGCGGGTACTGCAAGTGCTATAAAGCGCAAGCTCGGTGGTCTAGTGGTTAAGACATCAGGCTAGATACCTGGAGGTCGTGGGTTCGATTCCCACCTGAATCACTTGCGAATTTTTTTCGCTAGTATTTGGGGACGTACTGAGTATTCGGTACGATATCACGTCAGGTAGGGCAAAACATCACTCCTATGATTATTAATATGCATATTATATTATTAATATGCATATTATAATATAATATTCCAGATCGTTGACTCGTCAACAGCTCTCGTTTATACACACTAGCAAATATTGCTTGAGAGACTGGACTGCTTCGTTTTCGTTCTTGTTTTGCTGTATTTTGTTTATCCTAAATGTACTGTTTCCCGCTGCATGTTATTTGTGGTAAATATTGTCTATAATTTTCTAGAATTTAACTGACAAGTCTGAGGAGGCATCTAGGCCTGGCGATATTATTTAATGGCTGACGATAGCACACGACGAAGTGCCTGGTTGTTGGACTCGACGCAGATTTCTTTTGTTATTCCGTCCCTGACAAGCGACCAATGGGCAGTGCATAATCGCGAGCTTAAACAATATCTTGGTCCGCTTCATTTTGATATTTCAACAAACGACGTTTCGCCAGCTGACGCCGGTGAAGAATTTACACAACGTCTGCGAGAGTTTCTATTGTCAAAACCGGAATTCGTAAAAAATAAAAGCCTTAATTTAACCGGATTCATAGAACACGAGAGCAACACTATACGAAACGAGCAAAACAAATTAAGAACATGCTCAGGAAGAAAGCATTTGGTGTAAATGGAACGGATCAAGATCGGCGGGAATTTAGAAAAGCAGTTAAGGCCCACAATTATGTGAAACGTATGGAGCGGAGTAAAAAGCAACACAAAAGTTCGCGCCACAAAGAAAACCAATACTTTAAAAACTTTTGGAAATTTTCAAAACTTTGTGTAAATGGAAAAATTAGTAAAGCTCAATCAACACCCACTTTCTCAAAGGAAACAGCCAATACATACTTATATTTACTCTGTCTCTTATACACATCTAGATGTGTATAAGAGACAGAATTAGACCCATAGACGTCAGAAAAATTCTCAATAACAAGAAACCAACTTCAGCCCCGGAGGAAGATGGCATCTTATATGGACTCTTACGAAAACTTCCATCAACACATCATCTCCTTGCCACATTATTTAGTAAACTGCTTATCAGCGGTGATCCTCCAGTAAGATGGTCACGCAGTGACGTCACCCTTATCCATAACGATGGTGACACTAGCAAACCAGGTAACTTTCGGATGATTTCTTTAACATCTTGTATCGGTAAATTATTCCATCAAATTGTTGCCGAACGAATAGCTAACTTTATGACAAGCAATATGTATATTGATCCTGAAACACAAAAAGCGTTCCTGAATGGGATAAATGGATGCGTAGAACATTCAATTGTAATAAATGAATTGCTAGCGCACGCAAGAAACAAGAAAAGGACAATTTATCTTTCTTCGATTTAGCCGACGCCTTTGGCTCAGTCGAGCATAACTTAATAAACTACACGATGGAGAGATATAGAATCCCACCTACCATCCACAGTTATATAACTACACTTTATTCAAGACTCAGTGTAGATGTGTATAAGAGACAGGCGTAATAGTTTTTATTCTCAAGTAAAAAAGCTGTCTCTTATACACATCTAGATGTGTATAAGAGACAGATTATACACTACCTGAAAACCAAGGAGTCCGCGCATGGCTACGAACTCGAAGGAAAGAAATTTATCACTCTTCCATTTGCAGACGATTTTTGTCTAATCACTAAAGACAAAAGGACACATCAGAAACTAATGAATGAGATAATAGATATACACAATCTATGCATCTTTCTCTTAAGCCTGTTAAGTGTAAAACCATGTCCATCAGAGGCGGTAAGCCTGATGAATGAAACTTTCCATTGGGGGCTAATATTCTTAAGTCCTTGAAGAGTGCACCCAAGAAATTCCTCGGTAGTATGTTGTTTTTTAGTGGTAAAACTAAGGAAACCTTTGAATTCATAAAGAATAACATTAATGGAACAATTAACAACATCAATAAAAGCCTTATTAGAAACGAATTCAAATTGCGTATATATATACAATACGCTACACTATCATTTCGCTATATGTTAACAGTGCATGAGTTAACTGACTGTCAGCTTCAAACGCTTGACCACATACACACAAATGCAATTAAACAATGGACTGGATTGGCCATAAACGGACCTACACCAGCATTTATACACTGTCCAGAGGGATTAAATTTTCACCCGAATATCTGACGTGTATCTGGAATCACATGTCCTAGCATATTCTCGTTCCATGGTTAAAGGCCGGTTCCCACTGAACTTGTCAAGCGAAAGCGTCGAGCGTCACGCGGCAAGCGAAGCGAATCGCGCAAAGTTCACAAGAGTTGACTTTCGGTGAAGAATGTCTCGCTTCCAATGATTCGTTTGCCTATTCCCACTGCTGACCGCGCGCAAAAACTCGAAATGGCGGGTTGCAACAGAGAAGGGATTTTGTTATCGCATTGATAGACGGAGGAAGAGGGCTGTGAGACGAATCAGATAAAATCCTCAGGATTAACATTCCCAGAAATCTATAATGAATCAAAAGAGTGAATATAAACATGGTTTTTTTTTTAGTATATTTATTCAAGGCCTAGAGCTAGGCCTCCTAAGGGTAGATAGTAGGCCTAGCCTACCCTACTGTAGGTCTCAGGTAGTAGCAGGGAATCAGAGGCCTAGGCTGGACAGGCCTAAACTGGTAGAAAGTGGAGATAACTCAACTCGTCTCTGCAAATCCTTTTCCACGCATTGTCACATATTTTCTTTGCTCCCTTGTCACAGACCTAAACAAGGGTAGCCTACTGTTCCACAGAGTTTGCGTGAAACGGACTCGTCTGTCATTTTTCGCACTTCTGTTCATTGTTTTGACAATGGTCATGACTTTATTGTTGACCTTTGACATAAATTGAATATAAGCCTTGCGATTGGTCCATCGGCCGCGAATTCGCTCGCGAATCCGAAAAAGTTGGTCTTGGATCAACTCTTGTGAATAGACATTTCCGAAGTGTCAATCAAACTTAAAAACTGACTAATCAGAACAGCGCTAGGAATGCGCGCGCGTCTCACAAACACACGTGTTGTCCCACAAACGCACGTGTTCGCGTATGTTTTAACCATAGAGCTATTAAACAACTAGAGTGCTGACAAGACGGCGGAGCAATGCAGAGTTGTGTATGTGTACCATCCAAGATGGCTGCCGTAGGAAAGCGCCACCTTCAGGCTTAGTATGCATATTATTACCATAAATAAGCCCTCTGACTGAATATTATTTCATTAATGATAATTAGAATTGATAATGACAAATTATTAAACTGTCGTAGGCAAAACGAGGCCAAGTGGAACATCTTATTCAAAAATAAAATACCAAGGAATGAAAATTAAAATCATGTACATTACACCCAAACACCGCAACGCTCGAGTTTCAAACATAGCTGTACTGAACTTTCTGTGTAAATTGAGGGCGCCATTGAAAATGATAGTGCTCAGGCGAAATTTGATTGGCTGAAAATATGGCAGCCATCTTGGATGGTACACAAACACAGCTCTGCGTATTTCGAACATCGAATACATTGCTGTTAGCGCTCTAGTATTCTTATTATATCTCTATGGTTTTAACACTGTCGCCTTGTGGGACCTTAGCAACAATATCCAAGGGGCGGGGCTTAGCGGAAAGGTCCATTCGCAGGCGAAGCCTCCGCGACCACCGCGCGCACCGCGTCGAAGTTCGAATATTGGGCGTTCGCGTGTTTGACTACAAATTCGTTTGCATGTTCACATTGGAAACGCCAGTCGCGTCTTCGATTCAGCCGCGCGCGCCACATTTCGACGCGAAATTCGCTTGATCGCGTTCAGTGGGAACCGGCCTTAAGGCTGACAGTCGGGTAACCCATGCTCTGAAATGTAAATTAGAAAGAGAAACTAGATGGTCAAGAAAAATGCAAAAAAAAATGGCTCTAGAAAATGGCAAGTAGTCCACAATAGATCAGTTTCTAGGGCTGAATCGAATACCAATTGGTCAAAAATTAAGCCCCATATAAAAGAAGATATATTTGAAAATAGGATTGAATTCTGGCATCAATATGTGGAACCCTTAAGGAAACAGGGTGACCTACTAAAGCTTACACACCTTATCTCTGCAGATCTTACATGGAGATCTTTGATTTATAATTTACCTAAGGGAGTATTGAGTTTCGCAGTGAGGGCATCCATAGATTTTTTACCCGATTTACGTGGCGGCACGATTCTATAATACATTTGCTGATTAAATATATTGTGAAATATAGGAGGGTTGACAATGTTTATGCAGACGTAAAAGGCTACTCCATAGCAGGGGGAACAGTTCCCCCAAGCGTCCTCATAACGAAGGCAAAACCGGATATTGTTATCGTAACAGGTAATATCGAACTTTTGGAATTAACCGTACCATTTGAAATGAATATCGATAAAGCGCATCGACGAAAAGAGGATAAATACAAAGATACCATCAATGATATTGTCAGACATGGGTTTAGAGGTAAAATTACCTGCCTTGAAATAGGAAGTAGAGGTCTCATTACTCCAGCAAATGAATGTAGAATAAAAGATATTCTTAAGATAACTTCAAGAAACGCCAAAGCAATAATTAAGGAAATTTCAGAAACTGCTCTCGTTACCAGCTACACAATTTGGAATGCTAGGTTTAACCCTGCATGGGAAAATATTACACTAATGTAATAGTTCTTGGATGGCTCTAATCTATCTGGCCGTTCGCCCTTTAATCTGAATCTGATAAATGTTTTTTTTTTTCTTTTGATATTTCGTTTAATATGTATTTGTTGTCTACCTGCATTGGTCTGTATCTACAGACCTTGACCTGGATTTGATGTGTCTTCTTTTTTACTTGAGATTGAATATATTATTGTTGTTATTATTATTATTATTATTATTATTATTAT